AGGGGGCTGAGCCTCTCCACTCCACTCAGCACACAGGGCACCGGACACTCCAGGAGCACAACACGAGTGAATGCTACAGTAAACACCCTGGCTTCCAAAGGCACGAAAGTCAAGTACAGCTCCCTTCCCGGACTCCGAGTCAAGCTGAGGCAGGGGTTGGCCTGTCGGGCACAGTGTGCCATGTTCATCGGTATCTCAGCTCTTCCTCCGGCCCCCGGCCCAGCCCAGCCCTCCTTCTGTGCGGCCAGGCACTGCTGCCTGCGACGAGGACTCCCCTAGCTGCTCAGTGCCTTCCCTTTGTTTCCAGGCAACTGGTGGTCCCCACATCTACAGCTCACTTATCAATTCCTTCCCACTTCAGAACACACACCCTGTATAAAATCCCTGTGATGCCAGATGCCGTTAGGAAGGTCCTAAGCATCTCCAAAGCAGACTGCGAGAGCATGCCAGAGCCGGGCAGTGACATTCAGTCCCCCTCTTTTGTGGCCAACAGCTTCTTGTCACCACCAAAAGAGTAGACTTGTAGATAAATGGTGACTGGCCAGACAAGTACACAAAAATCCGAGCAGAAACACCAAAACCATGATCACCACCCAACAGGCTTTCGTTCACAATGTGCGCGCCCTAGAAAAGCCAGTGTGGCTTTTCCTTTTCCAAGGTTAAGTAGGCAGGCGATACTGGCCGGTCAGCAGAAACACGGTTATGATGAAGCATATTTTTAGGTTTTCACTTTTTTAGTAATTCCACCCACAAAAACTACCTTCTTTTCTTCTGCCTTCCACCAGGAATTCAGCAAACCTCATTCTTAATTTCCTTTGCCAAAATTTAATTCACTCAAAAGCTTATCTTGAGAATTAACAGCTGTGTGCAACTTACTTGAAGCCATGTAATTTGGCCCCAAAAGGCCTGAAAAGGTTGTTACAAGCATGACAGCACATGCTTGTAATCCTAGCACTTGAGAGATGGAGGCAGGAGGACCACAAGTTTGAGGCTATCCTGGGTTGTGAGTTCAAGGAAAGCCTAGACCACATAGCAAGACAAACAGTATTCACAGGGCTGCTACACAGCTGCTGACAGCTATGGGGCCACATTTTCTGCTTCATCTTATCGAAGCCACTTGCTTCCTGGGAGGCTAAGTCTCAGTGTGTATGAGAGAACCTACCCAAGAATGGAGGTGAAGGCTCGGAGTTTCTCTCCCAGAGGCTCCACAGCCTAGGTTTTGGCTGCGGAGTATGTCTAACTGTAGTGGCAACCGTGAGTTCTTTCTGCAAAGATTAAGCCATCCACGTGGGAGGGGAAGGCAGCTGGAGGCACTTTCTAAGTTTCACTTTCTGCCCCTGGAACTCTGTCTGCATCTACCACAGGAAAAACCAACAGTCTGGATAAGCGGCCTCACTCTTCGGTAGCAGCACACAGACCGGCCAGGACCCTCCAGCTTTGAGGGTTATCTCAGCCTACAGCAGCACCACAATTCCTGTAGCTCAAATTTAGATATTCCTCCTTAGTTTTACAATTGCTGTTACTCTGTGAATTATTTCCAAAATCTTGGGTTTCTCTATTAACTCCTCTAGTAAAACTCCCCTGTTTGAGACTAAAAAGCCAAGTATTCATTCAAAACCCAGGCTTTGTATGATTAAAACTAGGACTCTTTATCTATTTTGTACCCAGATGTAGCCCAAGAACCTAGAACTGGGCACAACACAGAATTGTGACAAAAGGGTAAATTCTGAGGGAGTCAAGATTTCCAGACCTATTCACATTCTTCAGCCAGATCCCTTGTCCTCCATTCTCACCACACTGCAATGGTACCTCAACCCCTCCTCACTCCAGACAATCTCCAGGCCACTTACAGAAACGTAAAAGGCTCTCTCCCCTTCGAACCATGAAACCAGCCATGCCCATCGCCTCTGATTAAGCCTGGCTTGGAGTCCCATCCAGTTAACACTGCTCACACCTGCCCCTCATCTCCACTGACTCTGCAGTGACCTCAGGCCACCTCCCCCTCACCTAGGATCTGCTCAAACAGCACGTTCATCTCCAGGCTCACGCCCTTCCAGGCTACAATCCCTAGGACTGAAAAGGCGAGCTTTCAATTCAGATCACCTGGCCTTTTACATAAGCCCCAACAGGGATCCTCCGACCTTTGAGAGTTTGGATCAAACCCGAACTCCTTAGATCACCCAACAGCCCAACCCCACTGAGAAACATGGATGATAGCTTTGACCCACGATATCTGGTCTGTACTTAGCCCTCTTCCTTTGCCCATCTGAAACCTACACTTACTTGATCTCAGGATTCACTCAAGTATTTGCCTCTCTCTAAAATGTCCCAAACACACAGATACATTCTGCAACAACTCTGCCAGCCAGGAACTTGTCAAGGTCAGGACTGTCATGGGTCCATGCCTGCATTCATAATGTCAGACATACATAACAGTGTGTGTTATAATCACGGAAAGAAGGAAAGGGGGAAGAGGACAAAGGGTAAACAGAGGGAGAAAATATGAATGTGAAGAAATAATGGATCATCATTCCACTCGGATTCCTTCGGCAGAAGTATCCCTGACATGCTGCCACAATTCCAGGACATGGAAGAGGGCATGAGACAGGGAATGAGAAGTGAAGAAAGCTCAAGAGGTCTGGGAGCTGGGCAGACAGATGTTATTCTAGAGCCCTGCCCATGTGGTTTTCAAAATGAGCAGAGAAAAGAAAATCAGTCTTGAGAAAATGGTTCAAGGGGAGAATACTGAACTTAAAAATCAGTAATGTCTCATCTAAGCCTTCCATCTTTTCTCCTTTTCCTTCTTTTATTTCTTCCTTACCCTATCCATTTAAATTGTTTTATAGATATATAATGTACAGTTATTTTAAGTTAATTTACCAAATTTACACTCTTTGAAACTTTTTTTAAAAAAACACACCAAACTCCTCTGGGTTTCTTTTCATATTTTTCTTGAGGGGGTTTCTTCAGACCCTGGATCCATAAGTGAAAAACAAAAGTCTCCAATAACTTAACAAACACTGATATTTCCAAAACTTCAATGGCTTCAGAACTTCCAAATATACCGACTAACTACACTTCTCTTTAGAGTGCAGACAACACACCACACAAAGCACACCTCACAAACTGCTCCCGCTGGCCCCTGACCCACAGCGGGTCTTTATGTACACTGCAATGCAGTCCGGCACCAACGCCTCGGCCTGCACCACAACCGCCGCAACCACCAGTCCTAAAGATGCCAAAATGTCAAGGAGGGATTCTAGCCACCGATGCCGTGAAGCCCGGAGCAGGTGCCACGCTCTTAACTGGAAAGATGCTTGTCATAGAGAGATCTTTCCAAAGAAACTCAAAGGGCCATCTGTGAGCTGGTCAACATCGACATTTAACACTCCATAACCAAGGGAGTTCTCAGGTGAGCTTTTTCCTGCTATGTCCATAAATTCTATAACAACTAGCAAAAACAGTAGGGAAACTCAGGGGAAAGAAAAGCCACCTGGCCAGAGAACACGTGAATAAGCGACAAGGGATCTCAGGTTACAAACACTCATCGAGAAAGAGAAGTGTGCACTGAAGTCCCAGCCGTGCTATCAAGGCAGAGGCCGCACTAACACAGCTCAGCGCCCCCTTCCCCTGTCTCATTTAAACCATCACTTCTCTTCCACGGTTCCCTCTCGTGAGGCTTTTAATTGTGTAATTATGTGGCATTTGGGCACCACAAAACACAATACAGCTTTAATGTAGCTTTTTAAAATCAATGTTAATTCTCTATATACTCCTAAAATAAATGTTCTCTCAGCCCTGAAGATTTATAAGCCAGGCACTGGTGGCGCACTCCTTTAATACCAGCGCTCAGGAGGCAGAGGCAGGTGGATGTCTGTGAGTTCAAGGCCAGCCTGGTCTACACAGTGAGTTCTAGGACACCCAGGACAACACAGAGAAACACTGTCTCAAAAAAAAAAAAAAAAAAAAAAGATTTATAGTAAACAGACACAGGACTGTTTCATTGTAGGAAATGTAGCAGATTACTAAGGATCCTTGTTTTGGGTCCCATCTTATACACTCATTTTCCAGACCTCAAAAGACTTTTGTCCCATATAAAAATAAGAAAATAAAGTAAGATGTAGCCCAGCAAAAAGTCCAAAAACAATAAGGACCTTAAGGCTGAGGACAAGAAGATGCAAATCTGAGGGGGTGGGGGAGACAGAAGGATTTCAGGAGCTTGTGGAGTTCCGTGTTCTTAACTCTGGGTTGTAGGAAGCAAGACAGAGTAACAAAGCACTGAATGAAAGCTGAAAGACAGAAATGAAAACTTCAAGAAAGACAGGGGGAGGGAGGGAGGGAGGGAGGGAGGAGGATGGAGGGAAAGCGTGAGGGGATGTGTGAGTGCACACGTGTGAGGTTGACTGATTCGGGCAAAGGCAGTGTGTACTGACAAGTACATATATGTCTAAGTCTCCAGGGTTCCACAGAACAGGTCAGCTTCTACCCCTATTTTGACCACAAGCAAAGCAAGGCCTGGAGAAGAAAAAGGGCTTGAGGTTAACAGTTCTGTCAAGGACAGGGAAACATCTGCACGGGGTTTAAAGGCAATTTCTTCACGTGCTATAAAGTTCCAACTTTCAAAGGACTCCGATACCCTCGCACTCACTGGGCTTCCCACCAGAATTTCAGAGACATCGACAGCCAACTGGCAGGGTGTGAGTTTTCTCCTTCCTTCTAAGGTCTCATCTAGGTCAGTACTGTCCCCGTGTCCCTGTCTGCAGTGTGACTAGGTTTGTAACATCTGACTCACTAGGGGGAAAAAAAAAAAAGGCACCCTGATTGATTCCCCCACAGTCAGGTGTTCCAAGACAGCCAACTGCCTCCAGACAGTGACACTGGAAAGAGGTTTTTGTTTTTTTGGTTGTTGTTTTTTTTTTTTTTTTTTTTTCCCCAATTATTGTTCTTTCCATTAGAGATAAACAGGACAGGGGAAGGAGGTGACAAAGAAATGCACATACCTTTCAACTGGTCAGCGACCACACTCTGGCCCAGGCGCTCAGTAACTCTCCCGTCCTCCATCTCATACCTGTCGTCTAAGTATTTCGCAGTAGCCTCAGATATGTGAACCTTGCCAGCCACTCCCAGCTGCTCCATGAGATTAGCCAGGTTCACATCATTGGACCACACGTCGAACTTAAACCTCCTCATGCCCAGGATACCACACAAGACAGTCCCCGTGTGAACCCCAACACGCATGTTCACCATCTCTTTCTTCTCCTGGCAGAACTGCTCGATGGCTTTTATCATGCCCAAGCCCATTTCAATGCAGCAGTACGCATGGTCTGCCCGGGGCTCTGGACACCCCGCCACACAGTAGTAACAGTCTCCCAGGGTGCTGATCTTCTCACACTTGGTCTCCTCGCACAACCGGTCAAAGCGTCCAAAGAGATCATTGAGGAGACCTACCAAGGCGTGAGCGGATTTGTTGGCACTCATCTTGGTGAAGCCCACGATGTCTGCAAATAAAATACTGACTTCTTCAATCTGCTGCATCTTAAAGGGGCGGAATGCTATGGGTGCTTTCTGAATGGACGACTTCTTCTTCCTGTTCTTGGGACTGGAGGTGGCGTGCCTCTTGACAGAATTCTCGCTCTCCTCATCCCCTTGTCTCATTAAGTCATCAGCTATGATTCTTGGCATCACAGAGTGAATCATCCTCTCTTTGAGGGCTTTTTCCACTTCCAGGTCTTTGCCGTGCATAATGGATTGTCCGACCTTGAGGAAGGTGCTCCTGGACCTCACCTGAGACATGACAAACAGATGGATCCCGATGGCGTGAATGCACAGGTGGAGCAAGGCTCTGCTCAGCAGCTCCCAGTGCAGGGCCTCGGGTCCCGGGGAGGGGAAGCAGTCCTCATTTCGGAAATGATAGCCGAAGGTCTCAAAAAGGACAGAATACGCCACCCCCAAGAACAAGCTCAGGTACAGAGGCAAGTGCATGACCGTGTAGAGCAAAAAGAGCACTTCAATGCACATGGAGAAGCTCCCCACTTGAGATAAGCAAGTGGCTGCCGCCGCCTTGGCTGTGAGAGTGCGATTGGAGCTGTCAACACGTCCTGACAGCGGTGTCCAGACCTGGAACTGCGCAGCCAGGGTCAGGGCGAACACGAGCAGGGTGAGGGCCATCGAGGTCCACGCATAATGCCGGGCGTACAGCTTGGTGAAAGTAAACAGGAAAAAGCCCACACACACCACCAGGAAGCCCAGAGCCGGGACCACCATGACGATCACTTTGGATCTCATGTGGACAGCGAAATAGATGCTCCAGAGAAGGCAGGCGAAGCCCACATAGAAGAGCGCGTACCGGAAGCGGCGCTGGGTCTGAGGGAAGCAGCGCTCCAGGCAGGCCTCCTCCAGGTTCACGGAGTCGAATTTGGGGTCCCACCACCGGCTGGAGGCCCTCTCGAACAGCTGGGGCAGCTTCTTCTGCCTGCGCAGGCGACCCCCGCCGCCCACCCGCCGGGGAAGCCCGCCGGAGTCTCCCGAGCTGCTGCAGCTGGAGGAGATGCTGTACTTGCAGTGCTTCGGGTGGGTGTTGGAGGACAGCTGCTTGGGGTTGATCTTGACCCTGACGCTGTTGCTGTCTCCGCTCGAGTCGCAGCTCACCTCGGTGCTATGGTGATGCAGCAGCTGCTGGTGGGGTGAGGAAGCCATGTTGCTGAGCTCTCGGAAGCTTTCCCGGCCGGGTCAGGGGTACCTGCGGGCAAACCCAGCAGAATTAGAGCGGCCTCTCTACACCCACTCCGGAGGGCCACGCGACCTGCGCTGGTCGCGAGTGCGAGCTCGGGCGAGCCGCTTGGGAAGGCACCATATGTCCACCAAAACTGTCCAGGAAGGCGAATAAAAGCGCCAAGGCGAGCGGGAGCGGCTCGGGCCGTACCTGGTGCTCCCGGGGCTCTGGCGCCGCGGCTGCGCTGAGTCTCGGGCCCCCGGCACGCCGCGCTGCGCTCCCCTCGGGCGCCGTCGCCCGCCGGTGGCCTCGGACTGCGCCTCCAACTGCGGCTCCAGAGGGAAGTTCAGACCTTGAGCGCTCGGGGCACCGGGAGCGGCTCTCGCCAAAACAACTCGGCCGGAGGCGAGCAGCGCTTCATCCTGCCGCAGCGGCGCCCGGTGCGTCAAAGCGCGCGGGTCGACCTGCGGCTCCTGCAGCGTCCCGTCCTCGAGCGCCGAGCGCCCGCGGGCTCCCCCGGCCCGCGCCCCCGCCGCCGGCTGCCGGAGCCCGGGGGCCGCCCGTCGGAGCTGCCGGTCTGGCAGGGCCTGCCGCCCGCAGCCCAGCGCGCCGCTCCCCCGCCC